TAGATGTGGAAAATGTAATAGGTTTGGTCATACTGCAAAAGACTGTGAAGGCAACAAGCAGGTGGCTAACTGTGCAAAGGAGGAAGAGGTAATCACAGGCACCATGTTCTATGCTTGCCACTCTGCAAGTGTGAAAAATGGAAGTGTATGGTTTGTGGATAGCGCCTGCAACAACCACATGACTTCTCAAGAGTCTGTGTTAATAAACATTGACAGGACTGTGACTTGCAAAGTTAAAATGGGCACTGGAGATCTTGTAAAGCAACTAGAAAAGGCACTCTAGTAGTTGAAACTCAACATGGGAGAAGGTATATACATGAAGTGTTGCTTGTTCCGGGCTTGGATGAGAATCTATTGAGTGTAGGCCAAATGATGGAGCATGGTTACTATGTCCTATTTGGGGGTAACATGGTAGTTATTTTTGATGATGGCAGCCTCAACAATGTTGTAGCTAAAGTGGTCATGGGAGGAAATAGATGCTTCCCTCTCTCACTAGAATCTATGACACCTGCAGCTAGAAAAGCATCAGTGATTGAAGATTCTTGGATCTGGCATAGAAGACTTGGACATTTGAATTTTGTTAGCATGAAAAAAATGCAGCAGATGGAAATGGTGGCTAGACTACCTGTGTTAACTGAAATGAAGGATGTGTGTGAAGGTTGTGTTTCAGGAAAACATCACAGAGAGAAGTTTGACAAAGAGGGAGCATGGAGAGCAAGCTGTCCATTGGAATTAGTGCACACAAACTTGTGTGGACCAATGCAAAATGAGTCAATTGATGGAAATAGGTACTTCATCACATTCATTGATGATTTTTCAAGAATGTGTTGGGTATACTTTCTCAGAAACAAATCTGATACCTTTAATGTGTTCAAGAAATTCAAAGCCTTTGTTGAATTGCAAAGTGGATTTAGTTTGAAAAAACTAAAGAGTGATAGAGGTGGTGAATATACCTCACATGAGTCTCAAGAATTCTGTGCAAGCATGAGAATGGAGAGGCAATTAACCATTGCCTACTCTCCTCAGCAAAATGGAGTTGCTGAGAGGAGAAATAGAACAATATGTGAGATGGCAAGATCCATGATGACAGAGAAAGCAATCCCTGTGAATTTTTGGGCAGAAGCTGTAAGTACAGCTGTGTATCTCCAAAACAGATGTTTTATAACATCTGTGCTAAGCAAAACACCATTTGAAGCATTCACAGGAAGAAAGCCAGGAATCAAGCATCTGAAAGTGTTTGGTTGTATCTGTTATACTCATGTTCCATCACCCTTGAGGCAGAAGTTTGATGACAAGGCTTCTAGGGAGTTTTTATGGGATATGGAAGCTGTGAAAAAGGTTACAGAGTGTATGACCTGCAATCTATGAAAATTGTGCTCTCAAGGAGTGTAATTTTCAATGAGGACAAGGCATGGAATTGGAAGAGTGATCAAGAGGAATCTGTTCCAATACCATTCAACCTTGGAGGAAATGAAACAGAAATTGAATTTGGTGAAGAACAAACTGAAACAACTCAGTTTGATAATGGTGGCAGCTCTCACTCAAACTCAACTGTTGGTGTTTCAGTAGGAAATAACAGTCAAGCTTCTACACCTAGCTCTACTCCAGTGAAGTTGAGAACTCTGGAGGACATATATGCAAGATGCCACATGTGCATCATTGAACCAGAGAACTATCAAGAAGCAGCTGGTGATTTAGCTTGGCAAGAAGCTATGAATGCTGAGTTGGAAATGATAGAGAAGAACAATACCTGGGAATTAGTTGAGAGACCAGCAGATAAACTTGTTATAGGTGTGAAGTGGGTGTTTAAAACCAAGCTTAATTTGGATGGAACAGTTCAAAAACATAAGGCCAGACTTGTAGCAAAAGGGTATGCACAGAAACCTGGAATTGACTACAATGAAACCTTTGCACCAGTTGCAAGGTTAGGCACAATTCGAACTCTCATTGCTCTTGCAGCACAAAAGGGATGGAAGTTGTTTTAGTTAGATGTCAAGTCAGCATTCCTAAATGGTGTGCTTGATGAGGAAGTATATGTAGAGCAGCCTGAGGGTTTTGAACTGAAAAATGCAAGTCACAAGGTTTACAAGCTGAAAAAAGCCTTGTATGGACTTAAGCAGGCTCCTAGAGCCTGGTACAGTGAGATTGATGCATATTTATCTATGTGCAAGTTCAAAAGAAGCATTAGTGAAGCTACTCTGTACACTAGATCTGATAATGAAGGAGGTTTAATCATTGTCTCAATCTATGTTGATGACATTGTTTATACTGGAAACAGTGAGAGGATGCTTGCTGAGTTTAAAAGGGAGATGATGCAGAGATATGAAATGTCAGACCTTGGACTCCTTCATCACTTCTTGGGCATGGGAATACTACAAACTGATCAAGGGGTTTTCATTCATCAAAGCAAGTATGCCAAATCCTTGCTTGTGAAGTTTGGGCTTGAAGATTGCAAACCAGTATCCATTCCATTGCCTACTGGTGAGAGACTCAAGAAAGTGGATGGAAGTGACTTAGCTGATGAAGGACTCTATAGAAAGATAGTAGGAAGTCTACTATACTTAACAGCAACTAGACCAGATTTGATATATGCTGCCAGTTTGCTGTCAAGGTTTATTTCTAGTCCTACAAAGAAGCATATGGGAGTTGCAAGAAGGGTCCTAAGATATGTGCAAGGAACTCTCAACTATGACATTGAGTATGTGAAGGATAAGTCTACAATTCTCATTGGATTCTGTGATGCAGATTGGGCAGGCAGTGAGGATGATAGCAGGAGCACTTCTGGCTATGCATTCAGCTTTGGAAGTGGAGCATTCTCTTGGGCCTCTATGAAACAAAATACAGTGGCACTATCATCAGCTGAGGCAACAGCACATGCTATTTGGTTAAGGTTTGTCCTTGATGGTTTTGGTGAAATGCAAACTGAGGCAACACCTCTTTTCTGTGACAATATGTCAGCAATTTCTATGGCCAAGAATCCAGTTTTTCATCAAAGGACTAGACACATAAACAGGAGGTATCATTTCATAAGGGAGGCTCTACAAGAAGAAGTGATTGACATGAAATTCTGCAGAAGTGAAGAACAACTTGCAGATATTTTACAAAGGCACTGCCTAAAGACAGATGTAATCAACTAAGGTTGAAACTCGGAGTTAAGCCAGTAAGCAGCTTAGGAGAGGCTGTTGAGAATTAAGCTACTCACTGAGCTTAATAAGAAACTGCAGATGACAATCCTACAGATTGTTCCTGAGAAGAATGAAGAATTGAAGAACTTTCACTTTAGGAAAGTAGCCGTTAGCTATTCTAGCTATTTTGGGATAATTTCTACAGCTGGTTTCTTTTTTGTCTGTTTCTTAGCTGTACTGTGTTAACAGACTCTAGCCTAGGTGTAAGAATCGTAGCCTCCAATCATTATGAATGGTAGGAGATGAGTCCTTGTATCCTAAAATTTAGGATCCTGATTTTGGCACCTTATGTCATGTATATGAGCAGGTTTTTGCTAAGACCTGAATATAGAAAAATACATAACATTTTCTCATTCTCTCTGGTTTTTCTTCTCTCTTCTGCATAAACGTTTTTCAATATACCAAAAACCAACAGTGTTACCGCTCCTTTGCTTCTCCAATCCATGGTAGCTGGTACTACAGTCACATTTTCATATTTGAAAGAAGTAGTCTTTGTGGAGTACTCACGCCCTCTGAATCCATTTTTTGAGGCGTTCACTTCTTCATTCATTTGGTCTGCAAATTGATTAACACTTAATTTGTAAGATTTGTTTACATCACTATTAGAGGATTCTATGTATGCCACATTCTTCTTGAATATCTCAAAACGCTTATGCTTCTCATTAACATCATTGTACTTGTGTCCATAACAAACCATCCATTGTTCGTATCTTTCGTACATTGATGCATCCTGGAGGTTACGAGAAGTGGCTTCACTAGACCAATTCCCAACATAAGGATCAAGACCAAACAAACACATCTCCATAGCTGCTTAATGAACTCCATTGTATAGCTAGTACTGGGAGAAGCTAGGGTTTGGTAAAGTAAATGAATCAAAGTGCAGTATAAATAGTGATTTGATGACCTTACTATCTCGGAGTCCCCAAACAATATCTGCAATCTTATTTTGTCGCCCCGTAAAAGTTCTTATATGAACCCTGCTGTCAGATTAATAGTAAATAAATGGTTTCATACTATGTGCTGATAGACCCAAAGCTATGAAGGACAATAGCAAACGTCGAAAATGCGCTTGGTTTCTTCATTGTTTTCACAAATTCCTCAGTTTCTTTATGGCAAATTTCTTTTGACTTTGAGTCCCGTTGCTGACAATTCCTCTTTGTGGGTGATTGTAAAAACCAAAAAAATGGCTAAGACCTACTCTGTAAGTCCTCAAAGAGGCATTGGTATGCCCTATCCCTGGGATGTGGTAGCCTCTCCTCCCCCTAAACTTTTCTGAATAGAAAGAAAATACTATATGCTAACTTATTTGGTCGACCAGAAAAATTAAGTTATGATATGAGCCGTACAAGTCCAAGATGCTCTGATGGTTTCTTCATTGTTTTTTGGAATTCTTCGGTCTCTTTTTGGCAAATTCCTTTTGTCTTCAATACTCAAACGCTAAAAACACACAAAAGTATTTACGTTGTTCAATTGGCTATTTCTCTTCTCTAATAACTTGGAGGGAACTGTTAAATAAGCAATAAGTACTTCATTGCACCAAAAATTAAGCTCAGTAAGTGTAGGCGAGGGAATGGGTTATGATTAGGTTAGGGTTCAACTATGAAATGTTTAATGAGTGCAGCAGTTTTCATAGATGTTTTAAAATTAAGTGTAACTTGATAGTGGAATATTTGTTGATGTTTTAAAATTAAGCTTTTCACAAATGGCTAAGTTTTCTTACAGCCACAGTACATATATCTTATAAAGTATTTTACACATACAAGTACATATCATACTACTTACAAACCAAATAGTAGGCATTGGTTTAATTTTAAGCTAAGCAGTGGGGTAAGAGGCTTCCATAGCAATGCCACATAGACCTTCTTTTGCTTCAACATCTCTTTGCATCCTTATGTACCCCTCTTCACCCCATTCTGTCCCCCATGAGTTTTTAACCAACCAATACTTAGTCCCATCATCACTAACGCCATAACCAACAGCGGTAACCCCATGGTCAAGGCTCGTTCCACAGGATCCTGTAAAGACACCACTTGAATAGAACTGGAAATCGGAACCTCCAGCATCAATGGCAACAGAAACTGGTTGATGAGCAACAGCGGTTAGAAGGGCTTTTTCGCTGTTTGCAGGCACATCTTCATAGCCAGTTATCTTGGCTGCAATGCTTGCTGCTTTCTTGGTATTGCATGAACCATCAACACCATTGTAGGGGTAATTAGCTTCCGTACTAAGCCCATGGTTTTGTTGGATGAACTGAAAGGCATCATCCATCAAGCCACCCTCACAACCTTGGTCTACACCGCTGGTGTCACAGTCAACTAGCTCTTGCTCAGACAAAGAGATCAGTTTACCAGTTGTAAGCTGAGTAATGCCTTCGGTCGCTGCCACTGCCGAAAAAGCCCAACAACATCCTATTTTTTCATTGCAATTAATAGTAGTTAGAATAACATAAAAATATTACTAAACTCCAAAAGAAGAGTATATAGTGTTACTATAAATGATTAATAATAATGAACCTAGACGATTAATTACCACATTGGCCTTGGTCCTTGATGGGGGTTACAGCTCCTTTCTTTCTCCAGTCCATTGCAGCTGGCACTGGCGCCTTAACATTTTCATATTTGAAAGAAGTCGTCTTTGTGGAACATTCATGCCCCTTGAATCCATTTCTTGAGGCTTTGAACTCTTCATTCGTAAGGTCTGCAAATTGATTAACACCCAACTTGTAGGGTTTGTTCACATCGTTATTCGATGATTCTATAAACGCCACATTTTCTTTGAATATCTTGAAACGATTCTCTTTCTCGTTAACATCGTTATATACGCGACCATAACGAGTCATCCATTGCTCGTACTTCCCATACATAGATGCATCTTGGAGACTGCGAGAGGTGGCTTCACAAGACCAAGCCCCGAACATGAGGATCAAGCCGAAACCAATACATTTCCATAGCTCCATGATATAGCTGGTGTACTAGAAGCAGCTGGGGTTTGAATTTGATAAAGTAAATGATATGAGCAGGTGTATCGAAATGGTAGACTGGTCACAATTTATAGAGTATATTGATTCTACTGAATGGCCATGCCATGCCCTCTCCGTGCCCCCAAAAATGATCTGCAATCTACGTGCCCTAGAAAATGTTCAGATATGGACCTCTAATTTTTAAAATATAGCTCACATATTTGACCTCTAATTCATTTTGATATTATATATAAAATATATATACAATGGACCATAAACTATATGGGATCTTAAACTTAATTATTTCACATTATTGTTGTTGAATTTCAATAATTTGAGAATTATATATGCAGAACTCATTGACTATTGTTTTGTTACGTTCGAAGATAACGATTTCTGCTAAGTTTGAGCCTATTTTTTGTTTGTCCTGGTAAGGAAAATTGGCAGCTAGCCCTGTTATTCTTTTTGGGCCCTAAGCATAAATTTTTTAGCCCTAAGGAGGTAGCCCCATTTAAGTTAGAGGTATCAAACGGGATGGGCCGGCCCAGCACGGCACGAGCCTAGCCCGTTTAAATGAGGCACGGCACGGCACGAGCACGAATATTAATGGGTCATGCTAAGTACAGCACGAAAACTTGGGCCGGGCCGGGATCAAAAAATGAGGTCCAATGGACCGGGCCCAGCCGGGGGCCCGACATGGGCGGGGCTTGGCCCGAGCACGCTTCAAGCACGGCCCACTTAACATTTTTTTCTTTCTCAAAAGTCAAAATGCAATAATTTGACATTTAATGTCATTGTTTTTATATATATTTTTTAATCATAAATATATATTTGATGTATTTCATTTTAGGGAAATTACTTGGGTCCTTAATGAATTAAACATATCAACTACAAATTAATTAAACAACATTGGACTTAATATCTAATCAGTACATATGATGTATGCGCTTCTCTTATAATCAAAGCAAGAAATTTTTTCACATATAAAATAATAAGTTGTTTAAAGATGAAAAGTTGAAGTGGGCTTTGTGGAGTTGGACACTTTTTGCCCTTCGCCATTTCATATTGTTTGGATGTTTGATTGATTAATGTTTTCAAATAGTTCATCTTTTCTTGCCTCTAATTATATTTTTAATGTTTATAATTTGAATTATCTAGTGGAAAAAAAATCAAGTGAAAAAAAATTCAAATTAAATGAATTGGTTCTTGGGCCCGAGTATGGCATGAGCATGAGCACGGGCACAACACGAGCCCAGCCCGGCCCGTTTCAATATGGACATGGGCTTTGGGTCGGGCCGGGATCAATGATTTTACTAAATGGGCCGGTCCAGCCCGACACGAAAACGTTAAAAGCACGAGTTTAAATGGGATGGGCCGGCCCGGCACGGCCCGTTTGACACCTCTAGTTTGAATGAGTGCACCATCATTAAATATTGAGTTGAATGGATTTTATGGGTTTTGCAATCAGAGCCGGTAAACTAACCGAATTTATATTGATACATAGGTATTTCCATATTTCCCTGCAAGTGTGCTACTATGCCATCTACATCGAACGAAATTTTGTGGTAGTTAAAAGAAGTTAATTGAAACAAAGCGGGGGTGTATTCAATTAGGATTATGAAGCGTATAAAAAGATTTTTAAAATCCGGGTGTATTCAAATTGGATTTATACAAACTTTAAAAGAGGTTTTACAAGTCTAGGTGTATTCAATTCCGGCTTGTATGAACTTTTAAAAAGTCCATTCAAATATGGGTGTATTCAATTGGGATTATAAAAAAAGTTGAATCAAATCTAGGTGTATTCAAAAGGTCGTATATTTGGAAGGATTAAACTTTCTTCCTCTATCTGTGAAGGTATGCTCCCTATTTTTTCTTTGATTAATACCTCGTTGGGTTTTCTTTTTCCATGATTTTTCTTCATCGTGTTTTTCTTGTTATTAGGGTATAGTTTGGGGTTACAGGTTTTACTTGTTATTAGGGTTTAGCTTGGGGTTAGGGTTTATTCTTTGTTACTAGGATCCATGCTTTTTCGTCACGGTAATTGAATACACCCCTCAAATCTTAAGAAAGTTTATTAAAAAATGGGAAATGACCTCCAATGCCACCCATTTGCTAATTTTAACTAAAAATACCACCCCTTCCCAATTTTTTTACAACTACCACATATAAATACATCTTTATTGTGACTGATTGTACCCATATCAGTTTTTCAGAAATTGGCTTCTCTCTCTAACTCTCTTGGCTCTATCTCTTCGGCTCGTCTGTCTCCCTTGTGTACCTCTCTCTCTTCGATGCAATCATCTTTCTCCCTCAGCGGTGGCTGTTCATCCAAGCGTAACTCCACCGTTGACATCCACGAGGTACTGTTCATATACCTTTTCTTTGAAATTTGGGGTTTTTGTGAATTTGGTTTAGCGTTTTAGTACTCTCCAAGGAAAGCCCGAGATTTTTGTACTCTCCAAGGAAAATAATCGGCTTAGGCTTCTGAAGTCGAGGAAGATCTTTGAGGACACGGTGCGGTCAATCTTGATAACGGTTCATTTCCTTCATTATGTGAAGAGAAATCCTGAAACATCCTACAAATCGTTGTGTACTCACTTGTCCAAAGTTTTCAGGTAACTTGCAAAACTTTAAACATCTGATACTTCTATTTGCTAGTTTTCTTAGAACAGAGTTTGACAATTTTCACTCAATGTTCAGCTTGTATGACGTCAGGCGTTCTCATAATAATCTGCTGGATCACATTCTGTTAATACGTGATTCTGTTGAACGGGATGATACCTTAGCAAGGTCCAAGGTCTGTGTGGCTTCTTTTATTGTCATTGGAATCTTTATACGGGTAGTAACTTTGGAAAAGTAAAAAATAAAAAAAGGACGATAAATACTCGAGTAATGGCATAATTGTAATGGATAGGGCTCTTGGGCTGAGGAGAAAATGACTTAAGACACCCAAACCATTTCACAAAAGACTTAATAAATAGAAATTAATGACTTTGTGTTCTTTTTCTTCAATCCTTTTATATTAAA